AATTAAGAGTTAAGAACAACTAGGTATAAAATAAATAAGATACACAGGTATAATTTCAGCACAGGAAATATAACCAATATTTTATAATAACTTTAAATGAAATATAATCTGTAAAAATACTGAATAACTATATTATTATACCCTTGAAATTAATATAACACTAGTCAACTATACTTCAATTTAAAAAATTAGGACTAGCATAAATGCTGGAGAGGGTGTGGAGAAAAGGGAACCCTCTTACACTGTTGGTGGGAATGCAAATTAGTACAGCCACTATGGAAAACAGTGTGGAGATTTCTTAAAAAGCTGGAAAAAGAACTGCCATATGACCCAGCAATCCCACTGCTGGGCATACACACCGAGGAAACCAGATCTGAAAGAGACACGTGCACCCCAATGTTCATTGCAGAACTGTTTATAATAGCCAGGACATGGAAGCAACCTAGATGCCCATCAGCAGACGAATGGATGAGGAAGCTGTGGTACATATACACCATGGAATATTACTCAGCCATTAAAAAGAATTCATTTGAATCAGTTCTAATGAGATGGATGAAACTGGAGCCCATTATACAGAGCGAAGTAAGCCAGAAAGATAAAGACCCAGTATACTAACACATATATATGGAATTTAGAAAGATGGTAACGATAACCCTACATGCAAAACAGAAAAAGAGACTCAGATGTATAGAACAGACTTGTGGACTCTGTGGGAGAAGGCGAGGGTGGGATGTTTCAAGAGAACAGCATCGAAACATGTATATTATCTAGGGTGAAACAGATCACCAGCCCAGGTTGGATGCATGAGACAAGTGCTTGGGCCTGGTGCACTGGGAAGACCCAGAGGGATCGGGTGGAGAGGGAGGTGGGAGGGGGGACCGGGATGGGGAATACATGTAAATCCATGGCTAATTCATTTCAATGACAAAATAATTCAATTCAGTGACAAAAACCACTGCAATGTTGTAAAGTAATTAGCCTCCAACTAATAAAAATAAATGGAAAAAAAAAAAAGAAAATTAAAAAAAATAAATAAAATAAAATAAAGGAAAAAAAATTAGGACTAGCTGTATGGACATGGAAAGATTTAAATAATGTATTATTATATGAAAAAAAAGACAAGTCTTTAAAAAACTGATCTACCTTTATGAAAATAAAGAGATTTCCCCCCATTTTAAACCATTAGTGCATTCCTGTGATAATCACCTGCTTGATGGTCTTAAGAAATTCTTTCAAAATACAAATGTAATTAATGAATAGTATTTTTGATAGCAGTTTTGACTGATAGTTTGCAAGTGGGCTAAATTTTCGGCTTTAGATATGCTGACTTTGTATTGTTGTTGTTGCTCAGTCCCTAAGTCGTGTCTGAGTCCTTGTGACCCCATGGTCTGCAGAACGCCAGGCTCCTCTGCCCTCCACTATCTCCTGGAATTTGTTCAAATTCACGCCCACTGAGTTGGTGTTGCTATCTAACGACCTCTTCCTCTGTTGCCCCGTTCTCCTTTTTCCTTCAATCTTTCCCAGCATCAAAGTCTTTTCCAATAAGTTGGCTCTTCACATCAGGTGGCCAGAGTACTGGAGTTTCAGCTTCAGCATCAGGCCTTCCAATGAATATTCAGGGTTGATTTCTTTTATGATTGACTGGTTTGATCTCCTTGCAGTTCTAGAGACTCTCAAGAGTCTTCTCCAGCACCACAAATGGAAAGCATTAATTCTTCAGTGCTCAGCCTTCAGTGCTTTTCTGCTTCTGTTAGGTCCTTGCTGTTTCTGTCCTTTATTGTGCCCATCTTTGCATGAACTGTTCCCTTGGTATCTCCAATTTTCTTGAACAGATCTCTAGTCTTCCCCATTCTATTGTTTTCCTCTATTTCTTTGCATTGTTCATTTAAGGAGGCCTGTTTATTTCTCCTTGCTATTCTGTGGAACTCTACAGTCAGTTGGGTATATCTTTCCCTTTCTCCCTTGCTTTTGGCTTCTGTTCTTTCCTGATCTATTGGTAAAGCCTCCTCAAACAACCACTTTGCCTTCTTGCATTTCTTTTTCTTTGGGATGGCTTTGGTCAGTGCCTCCTGTATCATGTTACATACCTCCATACATAGTTCTTCAGGCACTCTGTCTACCAGATCTAATCCCTTGAATCTATTCATCTCCTCTACCATATAAATGAAAGGGATTTAATGCAGGTCATACCCGAATGGCTTAGTGCTCTTCCCTGCTTTCTTCAATTTAATGCTGAATTTTGCAATAAGGAGCTCATGATCTGAGCCACAATCAGCTCCAGGTCTTGATTTTGCTTATTTTATATAAAGCTTCTCCATCTTCAGCTGCAAATAACATAATCAATCTGATTTCTGTATTGCCCACCTGGTGATATCCATGTGTAGAGTCATCTTTTGGCTTATTGGAAAAGTGTATTTGCTATGATCAGCATGTTCTCTTGACAAAACTCTATTATTCTTTGCCCTGCTTCATTTTGTGCTCCATGGCCACACTTGCCTGTTATTTTGGGTATCTCTTGACTTACTACTTTTGCATTTCAATCCCCTATGATGAAAAGGACACCAAAGGACATTTAGTGTTAGTTCTAGAAATTGATGTAGGTCTTCAGAGAACTGGTCAACTTCAGTTTCTTTGGCATTAATGGCTAGGTCATAGACTTGGATTACTGTGATGCTGAATGGTTTTCCTTGGAAATGAACTGAGATCATTCTGTTGTTTTTGAGACTGCACCCAAGTACTATGTTTTGGACTCTTTTGTTGACTCTGAGGCCTACTCCATTTCTTCTAAGGGATTCTTGCCCACAGTAATAGATACAATGGTCTCCTGAATTAAATTCGTCCATTTTCATCCATTTTAGTTCACTGATTTTAAGGTGTTGATGTTGTCTCTTGCCTTCTGCATGACCACATCCCATTTACCTTGTTTAATGGACCTAATGTTCCAGGTTCCTATGCAGTATTGTTTTCACAGCACTGCACTGTATTTTTACCACCATCATTTTCACATCCACAACTGACATTCTTTCTGCTTTGCCCCAGTCGTTTCATTCTTTCTGGAACTATTAGTAATTGCCCTATGCTGTTCCCTAGTAGCATACTGTACACCGTCTGACCTGGGGGCCTCATCTTCCGGTGTCATATCTTTTTGCTTTTTGATATTGTTCATGGGGTTCTCAAGGCAAGACTACTGGAGTGGATGGCCATTTCCTCCTCCAGTGAAGCATGTTTTGTCAGAACTCTTCACTGTGACCCATCCGTCTTGGGTGACCCTGCACAGCATGGGTCATAGTTTCATTGAGTTATGCCAGTCCCTTTGCCATGACAAGGCTGTGATCCATACAGGAGTAGCTTTGTAAACTAGCTATAAAATCATATTAGCTTTATGAAGTTATATTAGCTTCATAACCTGAATGAATAGCTTCATCTTTTTCAGCATTCTGAAACATTTAATCTAGAACTGAAATTATCGGCATCTTGCAAGTCTGAAAGAGGGCCGTCCCTGGTGGTGCAGTGATTGAGAATCCACCTTCCGGTGCAGGGCACATGGGTTCGATCCCTGCTCATGGAGCCAGGGCCCCACATGCTGTGGGGCCGCCGTGACCCGGTCATAGAGCCCGTGCTCTCTGCAGCACGTGTACCACAGTGTGCTATACCCAAGGCCCAGTGCAGGCAAAGGTAAAATAAATGTGTTTTACAAAAGGAAGTCTGAAAGAGTTATTGATAAAAAATAAAGCCAGTTTGTCTTGGAATCTATTGTACAGTTTAATATACGTATGTTTTAAAGTGTAATTTGTTCAAATCATCTATATCCAGATTTAAGTTTCTTTGACTGACAGTGGTATATCAACATATTTGACTATACAATTGATTCTTGAATAACACAAGTTTGAACTGCTCAGGTCTGCTCATATGCAGATTTTTCTCAATAGTAAATACTACAGTACTACATAATTCACACTTGGCTGAATTGAAGGATATAGAGGAATTAGGCAGATTTTCAACTGCACAGAGGGTTGGTGCACCTAACCTCCTGTGTTGTTCAAGGGTAAACTGTAATTGAGTTTGTCAGTTTCTCCTTGAATTTTTCAGTTTTTGTTTTATGGAATGTTTCTGTGCTGATGAAGCAGCATGATGACAGTGTTAAATGTGTACAATTAGCTTAAAAGGAAGTGCACTCTGGCATATTTAATAAAATTATATAAAATGAAAATTGTCATATAATGAGTTCTTTTTTAATTTAGTTCATTTAAAAATGGAGGAGTAACAATACCTCTGTTTACATGTACTTCATGGTTAGGACTTGAGCAGTCTCAAAGAAGCATATGTTGTATGCAAGGATTCGTTTTCCTTCTTAGAGAACTGAAATGTTTGGACCTTATCTCAGTCAGCTAAGCCACCTGCTAAGATCAGACATCCTTTGCTTTGTATTATTTCCCATTTGCTTTGATTGCATTTCCTTTTATCAAATGTAAAACAAGATTTTTCTTTATAGTCACATATCAAAACAATTTACATGTTATATAAATTTGTATAATAGTCCAGTTTCTATTCAACATATGAAAAAAACTAGGATTAACCTAGTAAATTGAATCCTAATTTTTACTTCTTTTAAGATGAGCTCTGTTAACTAATTCACCACTTCATACTTTGATCAAGATATCTCAAGTAATCATTCCTAACCTCTGTTACTTCAAATGAAAATTAAGGACAATGATTTGGCTACATACATTAGGGATATATAAAGAATTTAGTGTTAATATATTTGTCACGAGGACTTTTTGTAATCTACTGATGTAAGTACACAGAAAGACAGGTATAATATAAAAAGTGAAGATTTTATAAACAGTGTGAAAACAGAACGATAATTTTTGCCATTCAGTTTACTTTGTTAATATTTGGTTGGCCAAAAAGTTTGTGTGGGTTTTTCTGGAAGATGTTACAAAATTTTTGGCCAACCCAATATATTGATTAAATGTACTATTATGCATATCTAGTCTTACCTGAACCATTTTTGAGATATCCATTTGCATCTACAGTTGTATACATGATGTAAGGTCCAGGTTGATTTACTCCAAAGGGCTACAATAAAAAAGAAATAGTTAAGCCTTGGAAAGTAAATGCATCATCAGAAGTTTCAGGCAAATCTATTCCAAAAAGTAAATACTTCTATATAAAATTCGTACATATTAGATAGCAGTTAGAGAACATGTTCATAAATAGATAACCAGTGTTATCTATTAAAAAACCTTGTATTAGTAAAAAATTCTTAACTTTAAATGATTTGGTAATTTTATTTATATAGTCCATTAATTTTATTGGATAGTTCTAAAATCTAATAATGTATCTTCTTTATTACATAAAGATGAATATTTAAGGAAGAATTTTCTTTACTACTTTTGGTCCCACCTTGAGTAGTTTTATTATGACATTTCTGTTGACTATAGCATTGCTTTTCCCTTCGGGAATGAACTGGAATAGTTTATATTTTCCCAGTAAATATAAATAAAATCCATCCATTGTAATCCTAATAGAATAAAAAATACTGACGAGTAGTTCTAAAACATTTTACATCCTGCACTAGACTTAGAGAATACATTCTTTTCCAGTTAAGGAAAATGTAAGTTTTATCATATATATATATACATGTTAAAATATATTTGGTTATGCCTCTTTTAAATTTCTATGTGAATGGAACCATACTTTATGTATCCTTCTGTGACTGTTTAAAAAATATATTAATGTGAGACTCATCCATGATTAAGCATGTACTATAGTTCAAGGTTGTATTCTACTGCATGATTATAGCATAAATATTTTTCATTCTTTTGTTGATCAACACTTATTTCCATTTTCTTTGGCCATGATAAACATGGCATTCTTATGTATGTCACCTGATGCACAGGTGGAGAGTCCTCCACTGCATGATTATAGCACAAATATTTTTCATTCTTTTGTTGGTCAACACTCATTTCCATTTTTTTTGCCATGATAAACATGTTATTCTTATGTATGTCACCCAATGCATAAATGCAAACATTTATCACTTCTACTAGCTGTAAATTACTTCACACGCTTAGTAACAAACATCACTAATGTGATATACACTTCTTAATACAAAATATTTCATCTCTTATGGGTTTGTTTCTTTGGAATGGTGAATGCTCTTTAATATTTTAAACCTGTCTCATTGCAGTGAGGCTTGGAGATAATACTTGTGAGACTATATTTATCACAGTGTTGTAACCTCAGATTCATTTTATTACCCATGGTGGAGTTTATGTACTGGAAGACTGGTATCTTAGGCTATAAGTACTGTATTTTGTGAAACTTCCCAATTAAATTCTTGAATATTTTTTTCTAGTCCACATTTGGAAAATTTCATACTCCTATCTATAATATCTTATTTTACAGATTTTATAAGTTTTTCCTTTTGTCCTACAGTCAAATAAAAAAAAATCATATAAGCAAGTCTCTGTTATGAGTCCTAAAGCTGAAATTACCTTCCTACCATGCACCAGTCACTCTGACATTGAAAAACAAGAATCCAGAAATCCAGACGTGATTCCTCCATACAACAGTTCTCAAAGTGTGGTGCAAGGACCCTTGGGGCCCAAAAACCCCACTGGTAAAAAGTGTGGGTAATTAGCAGCAACACTAAAGAACAAAATAGCAAAACGGCAGACATAAATCTACCTTACTAGTAATTATATTAAATGTAAATAGATTAAACACTGCTATCAAAAGGCAGAGATGAGCAGGATAGAACAACATCAGCCAAGTATATGCTGTCTATAAAAGACACACTTTAAAAACAAATGTTTTTACAACAAATAGGCTGAAGTAAGTAAAAGCATGGAAAAGATATACCATGCAAACAGTAACCAAATAAGAGCTGGAGTAGCCACATTAATATCAGACAAAACAGACTTTAACATAAAAATGTTACTGGAGACAGAAAATGGGAGTTTATAACAACTAAAGAGTCAATCCATCAAGAAGACAAAATTATAAACATAAATGTACCTAACTGAGCTCTCAAATATATGAGGTATTGATGGTTGAAATAGATAACAATAGGGGATACTCTTAGAATTACTAATAATAACGCTAGTGTCATTGATGGAAAGACTGATGAAGCATAAGACCCATAAGGAAACAGAAGACTTGGACAACACTAGAATAGATTTAGTAGACTAGAACACCATGCAGCTTTAGCAGAGTACATACTCTTCTCAAACATACAAGGAACATTCTCTAAGGGGAAACATATACTAGACCATAAAACAAGTTCCAATCAATGTAAAAGTACTGAAATTTTTACCAAGTTTGTTCTCTGACCACAACAGAATTAAACTGGAAGTCAGTAACAGAGCCCACGCACAACAATGAAGAGCTTTTGCACTGCAATGAAGACGCAGGGCAGCAAAAAAAAGAAAAGAAAAGAAAACAAACAAAAACAACCACAGAAACAAACATGAGGAATTCATAAATGAGTGGAAATTTAACAACAGACTTCTAAATAACCAGTAAGTTATGTGACAGAGTTGGAAAAATTCACTGAAATAGCTTCAAATTCCACATTACAACTAACTTAAGTAACTGCTACTGTTGAATTTCAGGAAATTATTATGTAATAAAACAGAGGTTAACATGTAATGGTTTTATTGTTTTAAAATGATTTAATAGAATTATTTAAAATTGTTCCAGTTTTAATTTCAAATAGAAATACTGATAAACAAAACTCACCTAAGAACAACTATTTGGAGTGTTCAGAATAAGAAGTTTCGAGAACTGCTGCTCTGTACTGTGTACATAATGAGTAATTCATCTTTACTCTGCCTTCCCAATGGACATGATATGACTGATACCTGAGCCTACGTGTTTGTTTTCTTACCCCTTGGGAGGCATGCATGCGCAGCTGCTCAGTTGTGTCTGACTCTTTGCCCTCCCATGGACTGCAGCCCACCAGGCTCCTCTGTCCATGGGATTTTCCTGGCATGAATACTGGAGTTGGTTGCCATTTCCTCCTCCAGGGGATCTTCCTGACCCAGGGATTGAACCTGCATCTCCTGCACTGGCAGGAGGATTCTCTACCACTGAGTCACTGGGAAAGCCCTCTAACCCCTTATATCATAGCATTTAACATGTTTTAGGAACACAACTTATTGGGAGCAGAAGCTCAGAAGCAGAAGACTAAAATTAGAGCCAGTACTGGGGGGAACACTTAAACTGATTGAGAAATTGCTGGAGAATCAGTGTGAACTAATTTGAGAGTTCCTATTTAACCTGTAGAGGAGGGTAAGCTGAGCAGCACTTGTGCAAGTCACAGCTTAGGGACACAGGCTCACTAAAGTCTGAGATTTAATCAGAGGATTATAGGATGCTTTTCCTACCATAGTTTTATACTTTACCACCACATCAATTGGGCTCCTAGTAATGAGATTACAGTTAAAAGATCTGAAGAGCTCTGATCCATTCAAGGGTGACACAAAGACAACAGAGACAAAAACAAAGATGCTAGAGGAAAACTCTGTCTCTTGACAGCACAGCTACTGCGAAAGGAACAGTCTTAACTCCTAGCAGATAAACATAAACCCTCATCACGAAGGCTTATCTACCACAGTTCCTTTCACCCAGTACATGTGTGGTGCTCAAAAAAAATTTCAAAGCATGCCAAAAGGCAGAAAACAAAGTGTGAGAGGACAAAGCAAGCATCAGAACCAGACTCAGATATGGCGATGCTGGAATTATCAGACCAGAAATTAAAGTAACTATGATTAATATGATAACACCTCTAATGGACAAAAGTAGACAATATGCAATAAAAGGTGGTTAATGTAGCAGAGAGATGGAAATGCCAAGAAAGAATCTAAAGGAAATGGTAGAAATAAAAAATACTGCAATAGAAATGAAAAATGCCTTTGATGAGCTCATCAGTAGACTGCATACAGATGAGGAAAGGATCAATAAGCCTGAAGATATATCAATAGAAACTTCCAAAACTGAACTGCAAAGAGAAAAACTAATGAAAATTTGGAACAGACTATCTAAGAACTGTGGGACAGTTATCAAAGGTGTAACATATGTATTGTGGGACTATCAAAAGGAAAAGGGAAAAAAGAACCGAAAAAATATTTGAGGAAATAATATAAGATTTTCCAAAATTAGTGACAGACACCAAACCACAGATCCAGGAAGTTTAGAGAATACCAAACAGGAAAAATACCTAAAAACCTATATCTATACATATCACACTCAAATCAGTAGAAAGTCAAAGACAAAGAGAAAATCCTGAAAGTACCCTAAGAAAAGGTGTAAAGGAATCCATGTAACACTATGATACAATTAGAAATACTCATCTGAGGTTCACGACAATGAATCAGTGGTGGTGACAACATTGATGGCTGAATATTTTTCTTTAGAAATGCCTAATAGCCTAGAGCTGGGAGTGAACAAGAGAGACAGTTGGATTAATCCAGGGGTGTAACTTTGCCAGGCAGGTAGAGGAAAAGCATAGTGCTTATGGGAGTTAAACACAGTGGCAAAAGTGATGGTTGATATATGGTAGCTAAATAAGGAGGGAAGTACAGAAAACAGGTTGATACAGGTCAAGAAACTAACAGATTTAAAATAGAATAGGTATAGTTATAATAACAAGTGTGAGAAGACTGGAAAAAATAGCTTTGATTAGAGTTGATGGATGGCACTGAGATTTCAAAAGTTAAACATTTCTGGTAGATAATGTCTATCATTATAGCGGTAAAGAATCCACCTGCAAGTCGGGAGAAACGGGTAGCCATGGGTTTGATCCTTGGGTTGGGAAGATCCCCTAGAGGAGGAAATGGCAACCCACTCCAGTATTCTTGCTGGGAAGATCCCATGGACAGAGGAGCCAGGTGGGCTACAGTTCACAGGGTTGCAAAGAGTCAGACACGACTGAGCGACCGAACACAAAGCAAACGAATCACAGGGCCTATCACACGGACACGGGAGTGAGTAGTTAAAGCTGAATGAAAATGAAGGAGTCTGGAAACAAAGGAATTTGGGTGAGATGAATTGCTGACTTAAATATTCTTTCCTCTCTCCATATATCAGACAGGTTGCCTGTAGCAGGTGGGAATATATAGGCAGCAGAACAGTATTTATTCAATTCATAATTTAACTCAAGTGGTAAGAATATCATATGGTATGCACCTTTTCCTCTTAGTCTCATACTTGGTCATATCTAACATAACATTTTCTACTATGATCAAGTGGATCTGATATCAAAGCAATATGAAGAAGGCCCACTTTATCATGAAATAAATAATTTCACAAGTGGGCATATGTTTGATATATGGAAAACTGGGGTAGTGTCTATTTGTTTCTTTTAGTTTGCTACAAAATTGTGATCTATGATATCAGTGGGGAAGGAAAATGATAGATGTGAAGGGCAGTTCAACAGGATCTGAACTTCAAATAAAGTAATCAAAGAGTGAATGGGAGGCAGGCGTATCACCTGCAGAAAAGCCCAAAGGTGCTGGACTGCTAAGATAACCACTGTAAGAGCAGCTCTGCATGCTGCACTTCACTTACGTGACTTTCTCAATGACTCTATTCTCCACATGATGTAAATTTAAGATATGGAGAATGGGAGCACTAGTGATCTCAGAAATACAAATACAACCTGCCTTAAGCAAACGGCCTTTTCTACCAATTTTTCTGCTAGAACTTGTCGGTAAAATGAGTCGGTTCAGTTTCAACTTCTGTAAAGTTCTTTGCTTGACTAGGGTAATGAAAGAGCCACATGATAGGAATATCGTCAATCAGAGAAAAGAAGAAGAACAAAGGGTCTGAATGTTTGTTTCATAAACTGGGTAGACATTTCTTGAATAACCAAGTTAATCTTTGGCCTCCAATTAGTCAGACTTGCACTTAATTAGAGAAAAAAAAGGACATTATTTTTATTAGCAGTTTCAGATTCACAGCAAAATTAAGTGGAAATTCCAAAGAATTCCCATGTACCCTCTGCATCTCTCCTCCTCAGACCTCCCCTTCAAGATGTTCACATTTTTGATATGAAAGCAGATATGTCTGACCAGTTACTCATGTGGTACTCATAGTGGTTGTGGTGACAGACCTCCCCTTTAGGATTGAGACAATATTCCCTGAGCTGCTCCAAGTATTGGTTGAGGATAGCTTACAGCTGAGTTCTTAACCTAAAAATTGTTCTCGGCCAAAGGGAGCTGGCTTGTATAAATTATAACCCCTTCCTGGGGACTGCCTGCATGCAATGTCTGATTGATGCAGAATATAAAGGCATGGCCCTTTTGCTTCAATCTGGGCAATCTCTGAAAAACCATCTTTGCTTCACAGCTCACAGACCAACTTCTTCTGACAGTCTTCATTACTCCAGACGTCTTACTCTCAAGAAGAGTCTAGATTAAATCTTTGCATGCAAATCTCTGGGTCAGGGATTCCAAATGTCTTAAATATAGGACGTTTCCCAACCGTACATAGGACGTTGATGATGAAGCAATGCTTTAAAGGTGTGTTAAAAATATGAGGCTATAATCAGATAACCTAGTTCTGTGTTTTAGTTACACTACTTAATGGTTCTATGACTTTGGATAGTTTATTTCTCTGAGCCTCAAGTTTCCTCATCTTTAAATTCAGGATAATTCCTTATGTAACAACGGTTACTACAAGGACTCAAACAAGAATATACCAACACACACACACACAAAGACACACATGTGAATGCGCTCATGCTTTTAAATAAAATGTAGTATTCTTACTACAATTTAAATGAATTGACAATTTCTTATTATTTTCACATTTGTTATTTCATGGAAACATTCCACTAGACAGCAAGTCAATATTAAGATTATACCAAAAATTCATTACTTATCTACTGTATGCTTGATCCTGTGCTATGAGTGAGGTATTCAAAGATGGTATGGTTCTTGACCTCAAGGGATTACAGTCTGGGGAAATGCATTAAATATGAACAGATAAAGTGTGACCAAGTATTACACATGTGAAATGGCAGCAGGATGCCCAGAAATGATGGGAGCTGTGGTCATTTCTCCAAGTGTATCAGAGAAGATTCATTAAGGAAATAAACCTTGAGATGAGAAAGTTTTTAGGAAAGGAACTTTATTCCTAGTAAACTTTACTTGAGAAATGAAGGACATTTTAATCACTTCTAAAAGTAACATCAATTTGATTAAACCTATTAACAACTATTTTGTGTGTATCTATCATGCAGAGAACTTTAACAGAAATATTTACAACTAAGAATTAAGGTTACTTACTGTTATCTTACGAGGACAGTCATTAGAACAGAGACCACTAAGAACTGTGGAAAAATTAAAAAAAAGCCTATTATTACTTTTATAATGTAAGCTTATATTTAAAGTGAGCTCTAATTTTCCCCTAAAATCTAATAATATGCCCTACTGATTCATGATCACAAGTAAAAATCAACCCAGTTTCTTTAGATCTGAGTAAATTAAATTTCTGTTGTTCACTTTATGCCGGTTATTTCAAAAGCCTTTATTAAGCAGTCAAGCTGATGCCATTTTTTGAAATATATAGGTGATATAATTAATTATGTATATATAACATATCTCTTGGCCCTATTTCCCAGCTGGTTAGCTACATTCCAAGGATGGCTTAGAATCTGACAGAGAAGTACAAACCAATTAAAACTTATACTGAAAAAAACCAAATAGAACATTTAATACTTCATATCTCAACCTAGACTGTTACCATTTATCTATTCAAATTTTCTGGGTCAAAGAATTTAGGCACCCTTGATAACTTTTATGGAAAATATAACTACATATGCCAGCAAATTTGGAAAACTCAGCAGTGGCCACAGGACTGGAAAAGGTCAGTCTTTATTCAAATCCCAAAGAAAGGCAATGCCAAAGAATGCTCAAACTACCACACAATTGGGTTTATTTCGCATGCTAGCATGGTAATGCTCAAAGTCCTTCAAGACAGGCTTCAACAGCATGTGAACTGAGAACTTACAGATGTACAAGACAAACTAGATTCAGAAAAGGCATAGGAACCAGAGATCAAATTGCCAACATCCAGTGGATCATAGAAAAAGCAAGGGAATTGCAGAACAACATCTGCTTCACTGACTATACTAAAGCCTTTGACTGTGTGGATCACAATAAACTGGAAAATTCTTCAAGAGATGGGAATACCAGACCACCTTACCTGCTTCCTGAGAAACCTGTTACTCAGGTCAAGAAGCAACAGTTAGAAACAGACATGAAGCAACGGACTGGTTCAAAATTGGGGAAGGAATGTCAAGGCTGTATATATTGTCAACTTGCTTGTTTCCATGGGGTCACAAAGAGTCGGACATAGCTGAGCAACTGAACAACAACCACAAGGATATCTGAATATTCTTTCTATAACTAATATAAGCTTTGAAATATAACTATACTACTACCACCTCATGCAAACTAATTTCTTTGTAAGAAGGCACACTTTATGTGCTATTAAATATTTTATATGTTATAAATTAAAGGAAAATAGCTGATAATACCACTCAGTAATGAATTGTATGAATAATAATTGTGATTACTGGCTAGTTAAATATATCCATAGGAAAATGGTTCTTTATGTTTATTTATACTCCACAAATGTGAAATGATAATCATTCTAACAGAAATCTTATACTTGGGAAGGGTATATAAAATGCAAAGGCATTAAGAAATGAACATGACATATTTCATCACAAAGGAAAATGCCTGTTTATTTACTAGAAAGCATTTATATTAAATATGACCCAAGGAAACAGTGAAAAAAATATTTTATACCTCCAAATCAGTTTTTAATGTTTAAGTTCCTTACCTCAGCACAGTGCCTAGTTCTCACTCTCTTATTCTCAAACACTCCATGACCTTACTTCTCCCTTTCCTTTTATTAAAATTAATTTATGTTTTAATTGGAGGCTAATTACAATACTGTAGTGATTTTTGCCATACACTGACATGAATCAGCCATGGGCTCAACTCTAGGCAGACATTAGTACTTATTTTTCACTTGTCCTAAAATGATCTTCCTAAATCTTCATTAAAACATTATCTTGCTAAACAGTACACTATTTACTCACAAGTCTGTCTTTGTACCAGTATGAAAGTTCTGCATAATTTTTATCATGTTTTTAGGGCCTAGCCAAATCTATTTCTCAATAAATGCTTGTTAAAAAAGGTAAAAGATGGATTATTCAATAAATGGTACTGGATAGTTGGCTACTTAGAGGAAAATAAAGTTAGACTTTTATTCATAACATGAAGATTACACTGGGCAAAAACATAACTAATATAAAGAACTCTTATGCTTCAGTAATAAAAAGCAAACCCACTTAAAAAATAGGCAAAGGATCTGAATAGGAATTTCTCCAAAGATGATATAGAGATACAAAAAGCTCACAAAAAGAGGCTCAGCATCATTAGTGATCAGGGAAATGCATAGCAAAATCACAATGAAATGTACACAATTCACAATGTCCACGAGGTGGAAGCAACCCAAACGAATGTCCATTAGCAGATAAATGACTCTGAGCACGCTCTGGGAGATAGTGAAGGATTGGGAAGCCTGACATGCTGCAGTCCATGGGGTTGCAAAGAGCCAGACATGACTCAGAGACTGAACAATAGCAGCAGCAGCAGATGAATGAACAGACAAAACTTGGTATACACTCAGAAGAAATATAATTCAACTTTAAAAGGGGAAGAAATCCTGTCACATGTTATAACATGGATGAACTTTGAGGACATTATGCTAAGCAAGCCAGTCATAAAAAGACAAATACTGTATGATACCACTTACTAATTGAACTATCTAAGTTTGTCAAATTCAGAGAAACAAAGTAGAATGGTGGTTGCCAGGGCTTAGGGGGAGGGAAAGGGGACAGCTGTTAAATGGGTGCAGAGTTTCAAATTCATAAGATGAAAAAGTTCCGGAATCTGGTTCACAATATGAATATACTTAACACTACTGAACACTTAAAAATGGTTAAGATAGTAAATTTTACGTTACTTTTTTTTTAACCACACACGCTAAAAGGTTAAGATTGTAAACAAACAAACCCATAGTGAGATACTGGCTTCCCTGGTGTCTCAGTGATAAAGAATTTGCCTGCCAATGCAGACCTGGGTTTGATCCCTGGGTAGATTCCCTGCAGAAGGAAATGGCAACCCATTCCAGTATTCTTGCTTGGGAAACCTCAAGGATAGAGGAGCTTAGTGGGCTACAGTCTTGTGTATCTCATTTGTTTGTTGTTGTTCAGTTGCCAAGTTGTGTCTGACTCTTCGCGACCCCATGGACTGCAGCACGCCAGGCTTCATATCCATTAGAATGGGTATGATAAAACAGTCAGATTACAAATTTGGGTGAATATGTGGAGAAACTGAATATTCATACATTTCTATGGGAATGTAAAATGGTCCAGCTGCTTTGGAAATGGCAATTCCTTAAAAAGGTGAACAAAGAATTCCCATTTAATCCAGCCATTCCATTCTTAGGTATATATCAAGAGGAATTAAAATATATGTCCATACAAAAACTTGTACATGAATGTTCACAACAGTATTATTCACGATAGCCAAAAAGTAGAAATCATCCAAATGTCTATCAACTGATGGATAAACAAAATGTGGAATATTCATATAGATATTTGACAATTCATGTGGATATCTGACAATAAAAGGAATAAAGTGCTGATGCACGCTACATCAAAGGTGGATCTTAAAAACATTATGGTATATGAAAGAAGTCAGTCACAAAAGACCGCATATTTTATGACCCCATTCATATGACATATCCAGGATAGATAAATCTATGAATACAGAAAGTAGTGGTTGCCGAGGGCTGGGGTTGGGGGATTGATGGTAGCAGCTAAAGGGTACAAGGTTTCAGGATCATATGGCAGCTCTATTTTTAGTTTTTGCTATACTGAGTGAAGTAAGTCAGAGAAAGAAACATAAGATATATGCAGAATCGAAAAAGAACTGGTACAAATGAATTTATTTACAAAACAGAAACAGACTCACAGACTTAAGAGAATGAACCAGGAGACCAGGGTGGGGGCGGGGGGGGGGGAGAAGGGATAAAATGTTTGGAATTGAGATGTACCTACTGCTATATTAGGACCTACTGTCTAAAACCAGGAACTCTGCTCAATATTGTATAACAACCTAAATGGGAAAATGATTTGAAAAAGAATAGATACATGTATATATATAACTAAATCAGTTTGCAGTACACATGAAACTGTCACAACATTGTTAATCAACTATACTCTAGTATAAAATTAAAAATTTCTTAAAAAGGATATAGGTTTCTTCTGTGGTGATGAAAATGTCTGTGGTAATATTCGCACAATTCTGTAAATATGCTAAGAGCCATTGAATTGTATACTTAAAATGGGCAAACAGCATGATATGTAAATTACACCTCAATAAAGCCGTTACAAAATAAAAGATGCCATAAAATTAAAAAAATGACAAGGGGCTGTGAACTTTTTAAAAAAATACAAAGAGATACTTGCTAGCATATAAAAAGCCTCTAGATATGGATGAGGAGATGATAATCTAATAAAAACAAAGGATATAGAGAAGCAATATCCAGAAGATAAAGTACAAATAATAATTAAAAAACCAGGATGAAAGATACTCAGTCTCACTAGTCAGGAAAAAAAAATCAATTTTATACCCTAACAGAAAGGAAAAAATGAAAGACCAATAAAAATGTCTGTAGGAAAAACAAAACCAAAGATAAATGACAAACTATGAAGAATATTTACAAAATATATCACAAAAGATTAATTTAATATATACTATGGTATAAATCCATTTATAGAAATAAAAGTACAAATGGCTCTTGAACATATGAAAAGATGCAGAACTTTACTCAGTATAAGAAGAATGCAAAATAAGACAACACTTTTCACTTTATAGTTGGCAAAACTCAAAAAGTTTAATAATCTTTTGGGTTGGTGAAGGTGTTAGGAAATGTGAATTCTCCTATATAAAAGTAGAAGTGTCAACATCAAATTTTCATGAAGGGATATCTGTTAAAATAAAAGATACTTACAAATTCAAAACCAGGCAGAATTAATCTAAGGTGTTGGAAATTAAATTACTGGTTACCTTTAGGTGAACTGGGCTAGTAGCAGAAAGGGTGGGCAGGAGGAAGCTTTTGGTTGCTGGTATCATGTTTTTCTTGATCTGGGTGTATTCACATGTGTATATTTACTTTGTGAAAATGTGCAGACCTCTGTACTTATGTACACTTTTCTACATGTATAGTTCAACAGAGTTTATTTTAAAA